TACCTGATTGTTTCTTGCACAGTAGTCATACAGCTTTGTCCCCTCCCTCCACAGGAACACCATGAACATAACACATACCAGCCCCCACCACATGCTCAGCTTCTCCCCGTGCTGCTCTGCATCCATTTAACCCCTCCTGGGTGGAGCCCTTTGGCTTGGGGGTGGCTGGGATCAGCTCAGGTGAGATAGCACTGACCATCCCAGGTGAAGTCAGTCTCATTCCCCTCTATATACTCGCCAGCTTGCAATGGTACCACCTAAAGCTCTGCTTCAGGGATACGGCTACAGGAATCTGAGTCCTCCAGGAAGAAAGTTATTGCTCAGGAGATCCCATGACCTGGGTCCCCAGCTATAAAAAATCATGGGGGTGGTAGACTCTCATTACTTGGGCATGTGTGAGGGGTGGAACCCACCCTAAGCTCACAGAATCATTAAGCTCAAGCATTGATGCTTACATCTACTGCAGTTCCTGATCTGCCACTATCTGGCTGGCCCACATCATCTCATTATGAGTTAAAAAATTCAGCTGTGTTCCTCTCCATTCCTATCCTCTTCTTTTTTTTATGCAGCTTTCCAATAGGAAAAGAATTTTCCAGGAGAGGTCTATAGCTCTTTTCTTCTCTACTGAGCAGCTGCAGGAGATAGGTTGCCAAATAGAATCAGAGCATCATTTAGGTGAATACAGCCTAGCTGCCTTGGCAGTATTTGCTGGGTTGTGATACCACCAAGTTAAAATAGTATGGATTAAAACAAGTGTTGATCAGCATCAGAAGTGAGCTGCCAGGCTGATGGGATCCCCAGAGGAGGCTCACAGTTAAGGAGACATGGTCTGTAAGGGTTGTAGGTGGACAGTTACTGTGCTAGCAGCTTCCTATGATCTTCTTTTCCAAAATGAGTGTGTGAAGATAGAGAGAAGAGTTGAAAAGGAGACTTTGAGATGAGTAAGCCCAATGTGGTCAAAGATTTCAATGGGTTGAGATAAATACTCCAAAACCTAAGGGCACTCCTGTTCTGCCTGTGTCACTGTTGCCCTGGACTGCATCTCAAAAACTAGGATAAAGAGAAACACATGGGCAAGAAGAAAGAAACTTTTCAGGCCTTGGAAAAGGCTGAAATTCTGAATGATTCTGCCTTTTTCTGAACTGGCTCATTCCGTCATAACCAGCCATAGTTGCAATGGGAGCTGTGGGACTGGCTGTGTTTGAAGCAGACTCAGGCAGGTTGTGCCTGTGCCAAAAGCCCCCTCCTCGATTCTGTCAACTCTTCTCACATGTCTCTGCCTTGACCTGCAGCATCTGCTGCTTTTGTGTCATGGTCCTCAATATAACTGCCTTATCACAACCCAGGTTCTGCTTGTGTCCCCTTCCCATGCACGCACACACACACACACACCAAGGAAGAACAAAGCGCTTCTCCCAGCACTAAGCTGAGTGAAGGGAGATGAATCACACACTTCACCAACATTTGGCACATCCAGCAGGGTCAGTTGTCAACTGCAGCCTGTGAGGAGATTGGTGAGAAACATCCCAATGTGAGAATGAGCAAAGGAAGTGAGATGAAGCACTTAGGAAAGATCAGATTCCCCTGAAATAAACACAGAACAAACAATCAGGAGGGAAAAGGAAAAACAAGGACTGGCTGTTCAGCATCACTATCTGAAAGCAGAATCTACCTGAAGGAGAAGACAAAGAGAGACACAGAGAGAAATTGTCTCCTGTTAGCGAAGATTATAGGAAAGAAACAACCCATCTTCCAGCAGATTCCAGGCACTTTTCCTGGAGACAAGAACATAGGCAGACAACACTCACTGAGTGTGGCAGCAGCTCTTTGAAGGGAGCTCCAGAGAATGAGGATGAATCCAAGCTGCAGGTGCTGCAAAGAGCATAAAGGTTTGCCAACAGCAGCAGGTTCAAAGACACCTGCTCCAGCATGAGAGGTGCTCATGCAATGAGCCTGCTGGATATTGTACTGATAAAGCAGTGTTTAACAGAATGAAAGAAGTACACAGATATTTTTGATTCAAACTTTAAACTGAACAGCTGAAAAATGTAGTAATCTTCCTCTCTCAACAAATACAAGGGGCATATGATGATAGCTACAACCGACCTGGAGGAAGATGGCAATGAGAGCGGTCTAGAAGCTAGACTGCAGGTTTAAGGGGAAAATCTCCATTTCAGCTCTTGCTCTGTTTCAGGGGTTTAGATGGAAGAATCTTCTGGGTTTTCTCTTTCTCAAGCTGTAGAATGAGGAAAGTAGCTTGCCTCAGAGGGCCAGTATGTGGACAAAGAGGAGTATGAAGAGAGGTGAAACACAGAAAGCAAGCTGGGCCATGTGCTTTAGCACACACCATGGTTTTGACAGAAGGCAGGAACAAGTCAAAATGGGAATGGTGGCTCTGCCAGCACAACTGGGGGACACAATACACGAACAAGGCCAGATGACAACCTGCAGTTTATTGGGATACTACAGTAAACAGCCTCTATCTCATTTCCACAACTACAGTACCCTCTACTTAACTGCAATACATTTAATCAAGATGTTTCTTAGGGAACCCAATAAAGCTTGATGATATTTAATGGCTGGGGCTTAATGGCTGGGTTGTTTAACTGGGCTCATAATTTTGATTAATTAAGATGCCTGCAGGTGTTGAGTGGTACTTAGGCAACAGCTTTGATGTTCAGAGGCAAAGGGGGTTTTGTATCCCCTTCAAATGTATTTCTGTCAGTGCTAGTTCAGCAAACCAAAACTGCCTTCAAGCCCTTGCAAAAGAAAGAAGTTAACCCTCTTGTAGCTGGCGGCAGCAGCCCCCAGGTATCTGGGAAGCTTGGCAGCCTTCATGTCCTTTTGACCAATTTCCTCTTGGGATGATTGATGAAAATAAAACAAAACCCCAAACCCCAACCTTTTGGCATCCTCTGTCTCCTTAATAGGAAGAAAGAAAGAATGAGAGGATCTCCAGGGTGGTGATGGTGCACTCAGGCAACAGACCCCATCACAACAGCAAACTGCCCACCACCAGATCAGCGTTTCACCTCTACTGAAAACAGCAGTGGAGCTTGTCCTTTATAGCAGTGGAAAACACAAAGCCTGGCTTCTTACTAGTATGTCCCCTGTGTTCATATATCCTAACACTGTGATTTCAGCTTCCCCCTGCCAGCCTATCTCCCTTTGCCTGCAGTAACTCCCCTGTCCTGCTATATCACCAACTTGCCAGCTCCCCCTCATGGAGCATGGAGCCTGGAGCATAGGTGAGCAGAGGGACTGGCCAGCAGGTACAGGAAATAACACTAGTACTGCCTAAGAGGGACATTTTAATTTGCATTTCCCTATTCTATGCCGCAGCAAACTTTCTTACAAAACATACCTACCTCAGATTTTTGTCTCCTGCATGCAGATAAAACGCCCCCAGCTTAAAAAAAATATCTGGGGAGAAAATAGGGCATGGATACCAGTGCAGCATATGCTCATTTCCATAGGAGACAAACACAGGAGGGAGGCACAATGAGCCAAAGTCATTGTTATTTTCAGTATCAATTCAATATGACATTAAATTAAATAGAACTTGATGATTAAGGCTTAGTAAATTGCTATGCCAACTATAAAGGCAATGTTACCTTGTGGAAAGAGGGCTGGAAGAGGGCTCAGAAGAACAGAGTTATAGTGTGCTTTCCCATAGACTGACTGAATGAATTTGGGCAAATGTTACTTTCACACGCATATAAATACAGATCAATCTCCCACTTTTCTTGTAATCTGTATAAGAAATGCAAAATTGAAGCAGCATATTGTCTAGGGACCACAAAGACAACCCTTTTTCCAAGAAACAGTCTTTCTGTTTGGCAACCACAGGCAGTACAAACTGAGTCAGGAGGAATGATCTCAGCCTTTTCATACATCTGCATTGTTCCCCTCCACCACAGCTTTGTAGAGTAAGAATAAGAGACATTCAAATGCAATTTATGGAAACTTAAGCAAATGGCAATTGGAGTAGCCACTTAGTGTTATCAGCATATTCAACAGCTTGTGATGAATCATAACCAAGCTATCTGCTTTCCAGGGCATTAACATTAAAGCAGAGGTTGGTTAGTATTATTCTGACCCAAAGAATGGGTCCACTTTTAAGGGTTGTGATGCAGTATATTAGTAACATGCTGTGAATTCTGAAAATTCCTGACAGAACAAAAAATGAAAAATACCTGGAAACTCAATGTCTGTGTCTTTAATCCCTCTTGAGATTTCATCTTCTCATTACAACCTGCCATGACTTTAGCTGCATGGGTGCTGACTGCAACCTGGCTGGTCCATTATTTTCCTTTATTACACCAAAAGAATGCATGAGAAGGCAGAGTGACAAGTAACTGGAATTGTTCATGAGAACACATTCTTTATTAATCAAGAAAGATCAGAAAAATAGCTGGAGGGACAACAGGTGAATGAGACACTGAACCACCCATTGTCAACACTTGTTAAAAAAAGTAGAGCTGAGCTGTTCAACAATCCAACTATAGAGGTTCCCTTGTTCCGCCACTGCAAATGAGCATCAGATGTGGATATGGATCCCTAAAGAGCTTTGATCTTCCCATCAAGAAGTAGCTAAAAGGAGATTCTGAACTGGCTCCCATCCCAGCATTGCAGGCCAAGCAAGAATATTACCATTTGCAAAAGTAACGAAGTACCAGGGTCATCGGCCAGAGCCTCATTTTGCTCCTTATCAGCCATAACCAAAAAAACCCTTCTCTGGTTTATAGAACTGTAATCTCCCATTTTCTGATTCACAGAGCCTGCATGAGACCGAAGGAAGCAGGACATTAACTAGAGCAGCACTAGAGCTGGACAGCCTCAGCTTATACAATCTATGGGTGCTATGTTACTCCAGACTCATTGAGTTTCTTCAGGGATATTCCCCCTGCACCAGTTGAGAGAAACAATCTACTATTTCAGTTAGGTTTCACAAAGACTAAGAGATTACTTTCTGCAAACTTTCTCCATTTCTCTATCCATCAACCAAAATTTATGAAATCAAACTCCCTCAATACTCTCAAGGTGACTTCCAAGGTCTCCTCTTCAGAGAAAAAACGAGCTTTCCCATTCTTGCTGTCTACATGGTAGGGGAGGTGCAGCAGCAGCTTCCTGTAAGAGAGGACACAGTGAAGGTCAATGTCTCAGACCAGAGGAGCAGTTGAGATGGCACTGCAAGTTACTCTTGCAATTTGCCGTCAGTATACCAATAAATGTTCTTTAGTATACCTTGTTCTTATGGCAGGCTGTGGGGTTCCTGCAATACCTGGTGTGCAGCTATACAGGCCTGAAATGTTTCCAACACTATTCCTTTCTTTTGGCTGTGGCTATGACAAAAGATTCCAGTGATGGATTGTGGGCTTTCTCTCTGCAGTTTTACTTTTGCACAGTGCTGCATTTTAAATGGAGAGGAAGGAGGAGCTGCACTGGTAATGCTCTCCTGGTGGTAAAAATCTGAATGATGCCTAAAACGTGTCTTCAGGAGTTTGTCTTCTCTAGTAAAAACAAATAACTGGTGCAGCCTGATTAGAGATTCTGGCCAGCCCAGTTGCACAAAGGATATGCCTATACTGCAAAGCACAGTTCAGGTATGAGAATGCACTTGCAGTTATGAAGTTGCTGGGATGTTAACCTACATTGAAGATTAATTCAGTGATCCCCTACCCGTGGCTCAGGGACATAATACACAAAGAAAGGCTGGATCTTGGATTCAGGAGCTATTCCACAGTCTGTTGCTATGCCAGACATACAGCTTTCCCTAGAATGGCTGCCCAGCCTTCTGGTTTGTTACCTCATGAGGATGTCTCAGTCCAGACCCATTCAAATCCTCTCATGGATGACAGTTCAAACTTACTTGCTCATTCCCCTCTTATCCCAGGCTTATATATTAACAATATGAGTGATGGGCTAGTCTTGGACCTCCATTCTACAGATAGTGCAAATAGAATCAAAGACACCTTAGAATCAAGAGATCTTCCAGGCCAAACTCTATAAAGCCAAGCAAGACAACATGGAGGGTTACTTTAAATTGGGGTTCAAGTCATGCTGATTTTTTTCAGGTGTCTTGCAGGAGCCATGGCTAAAAGAGGTACAGTCAAAACACCTTTGCACCACACCTCCTGAAGGCAGCCGGTTGTTATAATCCAAAGAGGTCCTTAAAATTAGCTTGGTTTAGAATCAGCCCCAGGGCTAGAGTTGGAAACAGTTCCTTTGAGCCCTCCTACACATCTGAGAGAGTACAGTATCTTTCAGTATGTAGAACTTGAAATCTTGTTCGTTTCTTTCATCCTGAGAAAACTTGCACTTCCATTCGTGAAAGCAGCACTGGCTCAGCCTGTACACAAGCAACCATTAGATTTACGGCAAACTTCTTTATTTGCTAGGCTCATGACTACAGACAGCTGGATACTAAGAAGATAATGGCAGATCTGACTCACCAAAAAGATGGAATTGCAAAAGAAAAAGGATGCTGAGGTTTTCCTACATCCGCAGTATTGCATTAAACTATGTCTTTTAATATCTGTAGGTCTGCAAGTCATTAGCTGAACAATTATTCCTTCTGACTTTCCAGTTTCAGAGCTAGCACTTCCAAACATTCTT